AATACATGGCGAACATATATACACCACTGAACTGCACTACTAGGGAAATTTGATACAATAATATTAATTATTTTAAAATACTTGGCCTAAAAATATAATAAATTAGATTATATAAAACAAAAGTTATAGTATAAAACAAGAATAAAATTCTTCGAATGATGCTTTACATCATCGAGTACGTCGTTGGCTTTTGTGATTATGTTGTGTTCCCACGGACAAATTGGAGTATTCTCTATTTTGTATGTATATATAAAAACTGTTATTGGAGGCTCGTGATGTAGGTGTAGCAATATTAATGTTAATCTGAAAATGATATGAAAGTAATAGTATTAAGTTTTGTTATAATTAACTATTGATTTTGGTATTGAAGATATAGTGTATATTACTTACTGTTTAGTCGGTGCCTCATCTTACAAAGTACTGTCCGTTCTGTAGGGAATGTAAACAACTACTAATTTGGTGATGTATGTTAAAAGTCATTGCACGGAAGGGAGGGGGAGGTAGAGATAATGTGTATGCGGAAGTGGTGGTAGGGGGGTATGACTGTATATTGCGTTTTGTATGTATCAATGATTACATCATATATAGGTTAAACATTTCGGTAAAATTATCATTCAGTTGCAAATTTAGTTTGCTGATTTCGTAAATGTGAAATCTTTCGTATGTATCCAAGTAGTACAGACCGGACCTACCTTTAAGATCAGATTCAGAGAACACATACGAGACATAAAAAATAACGGACAAAGTTCCAAATTTACTCTACATATATTGGATACCACACATGAATATAGTACGATAGACAAAACATTGGAAGTTCTATATATCGGCAAGAAAGATTTCGCATTTACGAAATCAGCAAACTAAATTTGCAACTGAATGATAATTTTACCGAAATGTTTAACCTTATATATGATGTAATAATTGATACAGACAAAACATAATATACAGTCATACCCCCTTCCCCTCCTGCCACTTCCGCATACACCTTATATCTACCTCCCACCTCCCTCCCTTGCATTGACTTTAATCTTACATCACCAAATCAGTCGTTGTTTACATTCCCTACAGAACGGACAGTACTTTGTAAGATGAGGTACCGACTAAACAGTAAGTAATATACACTATATCTTCAATACCAAAATCAATAGTTAATTATAACAAAACTTAATACTATTACCTTCATATCATTTTCAGATTAACATTAATATTGCTACANATTGTATCCAATTTTACTAGTACTGTAGTTCAGTGGTGTATATATGTTATCCATGTATTTGCCTGATTATGGCTTTTAATAGCCGAAACATGTGGCAGAGCCAAACTAGGCACTGACCTTGATATAGTTGTGTTGTGACGGTTTTAATAAAGAAATTGTATGAAGACAATAGTTTGTTCCTAAATGTAAACATCTACGAGAATATACGGCGACAGAACACATAAAAAGGGCAAAGTTATCCCTGTAACAAGCCGTGGAGGCTCATAGGATTTTGAGCCGTCGATGTCCCCACATTTTCTAGTCAATCGGCTCACAGACGGCGGTAACGTCAGCCTTATGCGCCGGTCGCCCTTTACCCCCAGGAATATTCCTGGCACTCATTTCTTAGAGGCTGAGTAGACCCCAGGGCCTAGTGCGGCTGGAAGGAGGAGTTCAATTGAACAAAACGTAAAGCTATCCCTGAACAGGCTGTGGAGGGCCATAGGGTTGTGAGACGTCGAGGCTGCCACGTTTTATAGGCAATCGGCTCACAGATGGCGGTGAGGTTGCCAGGTTTACGCGCCGGCCGCCATTGTACTCATTTCTGTTACAGGCTGAGTCGACCCAAGCCATGGTGTGGCTGAAAAGATTATAAATTTCAGCATCGCTGAGAATCTCATATCATGTTGCAGTGGGTGTACGATTAGGATAGCGGAGACAAGAAATGAGTAGAAACATTTTGGGATATATCCAAAGATCAAGAAAGGAGACAACATTAAGGGAGAACTTAGAAATGTAGCCTGTAAGAATTTGAGGTATAAATAGAACATAGTAAGGAGGATGCCAACTGACAGGCTTTGGTATTAGCGGTGCTTGAATTTTCCGAATTATACTGGCAAAAGTGATTGGTTAAACACTTTCCGAGATACAGCTGAGACATGCGGCCGTGCCATAGCTCAGGCGGTTAGTCGCCGACTTCCCACAGCGGCGGTCCGGGTTCGATCCCAGGTCAAGTTATATGGGATTTATGGTGGGCAAAGTGGTATTGGGGTAGGTTTAGTTAGCTAGTTATTGGAGAGGGTGGGTTTCCCCATGCACTTAGACCAGTATTGGTCCATTGTGCTCCCTCTATGATATTCTACCAGTCTCTATACCCTACCGATATTGGTGCGTACCATCAGTCCCGACCGAGCCAGCGAGTTCGGCCTCTACTGGCTTGGCGGTATCTATAATGCTTCCCCCATCTATCAGAGGCGTTAGAGACTACTGTTGGGCGGGAAACGTCCTGAATTTGACTCAGTGACCTCCTTTGGAGATATGAGGTTCTTTTACGTGCCGTAAAGCTACGACACGGGTGGGGTAGGTTTTCTACAAGTACTTCGGTTTACCCTGCCAATTTTCAGTTCACCGACTGCTCCACACTCACTATCATCTGGGACTGGTTCAGTAGGCCAGTTAGTGGCCGACGTACCAAGTGGACTCAGTCTCACCCAAACCCAAGAAAACTACACTGACATGCAACCAGGAATTCATGTCTCAATAGAGGGGCTACAAAACCTTGTTTCCAGTTCTGGGGGCCCGGTACCAGCCGTCCTAACTGAGACTTCTGTTAATTTTCACACTTGAGGCAGGCACTGGGTTGGATGTGCCACATCCCCTCCAGTTCATCCTTCACAACACTGAAACCGGTGCAGCTGAAAGAGAAGATTAGAGTTTTTATGTTTTGTTGCTTGTTTTGCGACGCTGTCAGTAGCTGCACTACATACACTCAAATGGTGGAACGACTGATAAATGACGAATTGAAAAGGATTTGCGGGGGGGGAGCGATCGCGGTGTAAACGAGGCACTATTCTGGCATTTTTACACTCAGTAAATCCGGGGACTGCCTGGATCCCATCCGAACCGAATACCTCCCGAATATAAGCCTAGAGCTTTAACACTCCTCCAACGTGTTCGGCTATCTTGGTACTAGGTACTTACGTTTCGGAGAAACTTGTTGACTCTTCGTATATCTTTATACTGAAGATGGAAACAGCATAACCGTCCGAAACGCTGCATCATATCTGAGAGAAGACCATAATTTTAATATTGAAGACAGTGAGAACTAGAAGTCTAAAGCAGATAAAGAGTTTGTTGGCAAATGAAGAATAGATTGTTGCCTAACATCAATGGGGTCTTGTTGGACACCCCTGCTACAGGAACTCCAGAATAAAGTGGACGCAAACTCCTTGTGCAGGCCGCCGACAAGCCATCTCTGTCCCCTCTGTATCGGTTCGGCCTGCAGGCAATTAAGCCCGGCCAGCTTGCTCTGATGACGGGCAAACCCCCCTCCCGTCCACCCGCCGCTGATGTTGACACGACCCCCTTGTTCCCCCTCCCTCCTCTCTACGTAGTTGGTTTGTTCGAATCCAGGTTACAATTGGCGTGGACCTAACTTCACTACCAATCAAATAAAACACAGCAATATTGACAATTTCAGTAACAATATCGGATCCTCATGTTGAATACCTAAAGAAAAACATTGTGGAATAGTACTGAGTTAGCAAGAAGGGTTATTCACATTTATTGAGCTTTGCTGGGATAGAAAAACATACGCAGGTGAAAGGGAAATTATATTTATTGAGCATACCATTTCCTTTTCTGTTTTTGAACACCCGACAAAATCGAAACTTTTCTGCACTTTTTTATGTGGAGTCCCAGGGAAACTGGACTTAAAGCTGACCCACATGTTGGACAAATAAACGCAGTGTTTCGGAAGCTTGCTCTGCTTCCGTCATCAGATAAAGGTATGATACTCTCTTGGCGCCATTGTATAAAGCTAACCTCAGTCCCTGAGAGCCAGTAGTCATACCACAGGGTAGAAAAACTTAGTAGAGCTAACTACATGCATCACTTCCACTAATCTAACAAATTACTTTTTCCCATATAACTCACGAATTTCATATGATTCTAACAATAAACAGCGATTATTTCTATAAACAGCATTAACCGGTTGGGCTTTGTTGCGGAGACGTAATGTGTTTCCTGTGAGGTACGAACTGAATCTCTATATTATATTTAAGCATCCTGTTGCACTATACACTTCTATATGTAATAAAACAAATGCCGTCGTGAATGCAACAATTTATTTAGTTGTAGATCTTTGTCTTTTCTTCCTCTACACTACATGTTTCGGCCGTAATTGGCCATCATCAGGTGTATTTTTCACTACGTAGCTGTCACACTGCACACAGTCCAAAAGTATTAAAGATGAGGAGCGACACACACACACACAGAGCCTACACAGAACAATACATGAACGGTGCTGAAAACAAGAAATAGCCGCTGCAGCACATGTAGACAAGAGCAGGTGTCCCTAGTATCCAAAACTTTAAAATTTGAACTTTAAATTTTAAATTGTAGTTCTAAAATATGATTGACGAGAGTGTGTGTTGGCGAGATTTTAGAACAAAACTGACAGGTTGATGTTTTAGATTTTGGACCTTGTGCAGCGTGACAGCTACGTTGTGAAAAATATGCCTGATGATGGCCAATTAGGGTCGAAACATGTAGTGTAGAGGAAGAAAAGGCAAAGATCTACAACCAAATAAATTGTTGCATTCACGACGGCATTTGTATTATTACATATGAATCTCTATATTATTTGTGTGTTTCGTATGGTTCTCACAATAAACAGCGACTGTTTCCCTAAACAGCATTAACCGGTTGGGCTTTGTAGCGGAGACGTGATGTGTTTCCTGTGAGGTACGGACTGAATACTACTTAGAGAAAATACACTCTTTAAAGGATTAGGTCAGTTGTCGGAGAGACTTCAGGCAGGAAGGTCGCATACCCAAGCCAGGCCTGTTCTCTTGGCCCAGCGCGGGAGCTCCAAGACATCGAACAGCTTACGGTTCTGAATAACCAGCCCCGTACGTTGCAGACAAAGAGAAGAAAGAAGAGGATTCCAGCTTACGCTTGTGTTCCCGGCGGTACTGCCTCAGTTGAAACCTAACGGTGCCAACGAACGCTGAGGATCCTTTGTAATCCTTACATTCCACCCTTAATCAGTGTTGCAACATCGGTGAATCAGCGCTAGCTTGTAGGAGTAAGTTCAGGTGGGCTTCGGCCCGCCTGCTTGTCGGAGGTTACTGCTGTCACCGGATGATGCAACTGTCCTTGGTTCAGTTCCTTTTAACTTTTAACTTATACCCCGTTCCAAATAGTATTATCACTTCCCTGGTACGCTCGGTGTTGGTGAGTAAACCGTAGCTGCCAGCATGGTGAAGTCCAAGGTCATTAGATTGGACCCCCTAGGCATTAAGAGGGTTATGGACGTTGGAGGCCCCGCAGCCCTAAATACAACCATAAAGAAACCCAGAAAAGTAAATAGAAATAAAGCCGAAAAAAATAAACCATTAGAAAAACCAACCATTTTAACCATAAAACCTAAACACGCGCTCCGGTCCCCAGTGAGCGTAGAGTCCGATAGTGCTTCATCTGAATATTCAGATTCAGAAATGGCATCGATATGGCCGGAAAATAAAACCCCTCCAACTAAAGAAAATCTTAAACAGTCCGAACCAAGCAGACCCAAGTCAGCCTCGCCCGTGATATGCCCTTCTGGCAATCACAGCCTTACAGTGGCTGCAGATGTACACTGTTCCCAAGGTGGAACTAAAGCTGTGAGGCAAGGTGCACAGAAACCTGCTTTATCGGCAAGAGCCTCTTCTGAACCGCCTAATCCAGATGAGATAGCGGAGGATAATGACTTCACTGTCATTACCCCCAAAAAGAGAAAAAACAAAGCAAAAGTAAACCCACCCATAACAGAAGCCGCCATTAATACAGCTTTGCCATCCTCTCCCGCTCCTGAGAGCCGTGTTGCTGGCAGCTCAGAGAAGAGGACCAACTTCCTAACCGCACCCAGAGAGAAAATTCCGCCGGTCGTCATCCACCACCACTTCCAAGGTGACATGACCAGACTTAACAAAGATTTTCACTCCAAATTCCAGCCTATAGGCTTCACAACCTATAGAATGAAAGCTGGCATAGCATGTCAGACTTCAACATACCAAGACTACCTAAACTTACAAAGCTTTTTAAAAGAAAGTAAAGTTCCATTTAACCTGATTAAACACAACGATTCTAAGCCGTACAGGGTGGTTATCAAAGGCATCCCTCCTACCACCCCTCCTAAAGCCATTCAGGATGAGCTACTGGCCCTTGGGCTGGCAGTTCAAAACGTCATCCCAATGTCCACTTGGAGAGACAAAACCCCTCTGCCCATGCACATAATTGAGCTAGATAACGTTCCACAGAGCCAGAAAATTTCGCAGTTGTCCCACCTGTGTTACATCAGAATCACTGTGGAGCCTTATAAGGGACGCGCCGTGCCGCCTCAGTGCGCACGGTGTCAGCAATTCTATCACGTGGCGGCAAACTGTCAGGCCCCTCCGGCTTGTGCCCACTGTGCAGAGGAACATTGCTCGTGGCAATGTGAAAAACGTTTTGAACCTAACTTTGTGCCCACGTGCGCTCTGTGCAAAATCGGAGATCACGGCTCCAAGTACAGAGGTTGCCCCTATTTTCGGAACCTCATGGAAAAGGAGATGAGAAATAAACCTCAGCCTGAGAAGTTGAATAACCGCCAGCCTTCTAATGTGGGCAGAGCGCGAAACTCATTTCAATCTATGCATCCGCAAAATCCTCCCTCTAAAACCCTCCACGACTATCCGCCTATGAGTCCCGGAAACGCTTGGAGCAGGCCTCTGAACTTTTCCACTTCACAACTGCCACAACCTCCCCCTCCTACTCCACGTTTAAATCAACCGCGTAACCTTCTGTCCAATCACATCTTTGTACCCCACATGGAAATTCCGCAGTTTTATTACAGACAAGATCCGCGTCTTTCCCATAAACTAAGCTGCACTTGCAACTCGCACCCCAACCCTTCAGTAAACAATAATGTTCAACCAGCTGCAAAAGAACCCGTTACCTCTGAAACTGGCATTTCTCCGCCAGAACAGAACATACCTGCTTCACCCCCTCCCCCCGGGGCAGGGGACGAGCCGAACTCAGATTCTTCGGTCGCCCCTAATTCTCGGCACTCTGCCCCCAAGTTGTCCAGAACAAAGGGACAAACTCATACACAGCAACAAGACACAACACACCCGCGGGAGGAACACAGTTACATTTCTTCTGATCAAAATTTATTGCAGTCGGCAGACAACATGCATCAGCACGGCCATCAGCCTCCCAGACAGAGACTAGGTAACTCGTACACTGAACATCAAACTAGGGAATTTGTCAATTGTGTTCGGGCTTTCAACCCAAACTTTTCCTTTCAGTGCCTTCTACAAACAATGTCAGTCATGCTCCTGCAATTTATGCAGCACCCATATGAGAGTGCCCTCCCGGTCATATTCAATAACTTCCTAATCAACCTCCTAGGTCTTCCTCATAATGGGTAAGTCCTCACACACCGATATCTTATTCTGGAATTGCAGAGGCATTAAATCGAAAAAATACGAGTTCACAAATTACCTGGAAGCCAATAACATACCCATAGCACTAATAAGTGAAACGCACTTACAGCCATCCACGAAATTTAAATGTCCGAACTACATAACGTACAGGACTGACAGGCTAAACCAGCGGGGTGGCGGAACAGCCATTCTAATACGTCAGGATTTGAAACACTCAGAAATTCTCCTTCCTCGCTTACAACATATGGAAGCTACAGCTATTCAACTCAACATTAATAAGGAATCCATAGTATTAATTTCGGTCTACAATCCGCCAGGAAAAATAATAGAACGTGACTTAGACCTCCTCATAGCAACCGGGCACAAGGTAATTCTTGCAGGCGATTTCAACGCCAAGCACGTAACATGGCGCGCTAGACAGAATAACGCGGCGGGACAATCCCTTTTAAATCATTATTACAAAAATAATTACATAATTTCCGCTCCGTCACAGCCTACGCATTTTCCAGACAGAAACCCTGCAGGGGCGGAAATACTTGACTTTGCCATCCTCAGTAACGTACTGTCACGTCACTCTGTACGCACCCTAGGCAGCCTCTCCACATCCGATCACAACCCCGTCTTATTGACCATACGTGGGCCAGTAGAACCTGACGAAATTAAACAAAATTTTATCTACCGGGAAGCGAACTGGGAACTTTTTCAAAATTACTTAGTAAACAATCTGAATACTCAGTGCCTAGAAGGGAACTGCTCAAAGAGCGAGATTGATGTAGCGGTTAAGCACCTTACAGACATCCTCAACAGAGCCACTCTCTATGCTGTACCGTTAAGAAGGAAAACTTTCAAATCAATGCAGATTGCAGCTTCCACTCGTGTACTCATTCAAAAGAGGAACAGGCTTCGGACGCAATGGCAAAGAACCCGTGATATTACTCTTCGCCCTCTCATTAATTCTTTAAAAGAGCAAATAGATTCGGCAATAAAAGAACAATTATCGAACACCTGGCAGAAAACTTTACAAGGGCTGGACACTAATAACATGAGAGACACCTGGCGGATAACTAAAAGTTTAACAAACACAAATTTTAACATCCCACCCCTTACCATTAATGGGAAAACTGTGACCGAAACCCAGGAAAAAGTAAACGTATTTGCCGATACCTTGGAACAAATTTTCACTACCAATTTGGATGCTGATCGTACTTTTACAGTTAGCACTGAACAGGTAGTGAATGACTTCCTTGCACAGCCACTCACAGACCGGATGAGGGCCACAAATCATTCAGAAATCGCTTGGATTGTCCGCCACCTCAAATCACGCAAAGCAGCAGGGCCTGACGGGATACAGAATATAATACTTCAGCATCTGCCGCGGTTTGTTTTCAAATTTATTGCAAAACTGTTTAATAGATCACTTGCCCTAAATTATTTTCCTACACAATGGAAAGAGGCAAAAATTATTATGCTTCCGAAACCAGGCAAAGACCATACGTCCCCACTAAATTATAGACCAATAAGCCTTCTAAATTCTTTAGGTAAACTTTTAGAGAAAATCATTCTAAAAAGACTAAACTTCGAACTTAGGAAGCTGCAAGCTATCAGAAATGACCAATACGGTTTTAAAAGAGGCCACTCCACAACACATGCGTTGTTAAGGAATGTGGAGCGCATTACGCACGGTTTCAACAATAACAAAGCTACAGTAACCTTATTCCTGGATATTGAACGAGCATTCGACAAGGTCTGGAACACCGGGATGATTGCTAAACTCATTTCGGCCAAAATTCCACCTCACTTCATTCATATAATACATAACTACCTCCAGAATCGATGCTTTTTTGTAATGCACAAAAACTATTATTCAAACCTACGCCCCATTCAGGCCGGAGTGCCTCAGGGCAGCTTACTTGGACCCACACTCTTCAATATTTATATTAATGACATTCCTTCAATTGAAAATGACTCCAACATAGCCATATCGGTCTATGCTGATGACACGAATATTAGTGTTCGGTCAGGCAGCATAGATATAGCAGTCAGAAAGTTAAACTCTGCCATACGCCTCTTAGAACCATGGTTCCGGAAGTGGAGAATACATATTAATGCAAAAAAGTGCACAATTACACTCTTTTCTAAACGACTGCGACATCAGGGCTGCAGTAAGCATCAAGTAAAGATTTTTAACAAAACCATATCTTGGACTAAGGAAACGAAGTATCTTGGTGTTACACTTGACTCAAAATTAACCTACCGTACCCACATATCCTGTATTTTGCGCAAAGCTAATTACAGACTCAGACAACTGTATCCTATATTAAATAAATCCTCCACAATTGACATTAATTTAGCGTTGGTAATTTATAAATCACTCCTCCGTTCCATATTGTCATATGCCTCCCCCGCGTGGGGCTATGCTGCCAACACTCACATAAATAAATTACAGACATTTCAAAATAAAGTCCTCAGGATAATAACAAAATTGCCGAGGGTAACACCAATTACAACCTTACATGAACAGACGGGAATGTCATCAATAAAAAGTCATTTCAAGAGGTTAGCGAGGACATTGTACCAGAAATCGGTAACCAGCGAAAACAGTCAGATTCAGGCACTAGGACACTACGATCCCACTGGTGATAAACATCTGCGTCCCTTATCCCTGCTTGCAAGATAATCAGCTTTAAGATCTCTTTACAGGTAACCGGATGATTGCAACTCCCTAAATGCCCAGTACGCCCGCGGCCACATCGACCAATCACCACACCTATGCTGGACAAGAAAAGTAGATGTGATTTTTAAAAAAAAAAATTGTAATTATAAAATCTTGTCATTGGACGAGCAACAACCCTTTGCCCCTTCACAACAGTGATTTAAATTTATCAACTTGAACAGTTAAAACCCTTTACAAATGTGATACACAAATGTTTGCTGCTCATCCAAAGTATGCAAAAAAAAAAAAAAAAAACTGTAGAAAAACAAATGTAAACTTTTGAAATAAAGGAACAGGACACACAGGGTCTAATGTTAGGGTTCGCGTATTTAAGCCGGACTGCTGGCTAGAAGTCAGTTTGTATCCGGAAGGTCCTGAGACCGGCCAGCTCGACCAAGGTTTTCCGTGGTTTTCCTCGGTACTAGAGCAAATGCTGAGTTGGTACCCAATTCCACGTTGCACTGCATGCCTCACATGCAGCCCTCCCATTGTTAACATCAAAATTTCGCCTTAATATAGCCCTCCCAACGTTAGCAAAAACAAACAAACAAAAATCAGATTATATGCTCTATCTTTACCAGAAGGACAAGCGGGCACTGCCTGGGAACCTTCAAAATCTGAAATATAATTTCTTCCCCCCCCCGACCCCAATGTAGTGTCTCTCACTACGACCACCACTTCTTCTCTCTCTCTCTCTCTCTCAAAGGATTAGGCTTGTATGGAACATGCCTGCACCGATATAAGTAATCGGTCTATTTACTAACTAACTACCCAACCAATCATTTAACGAGCTAACGACAAAGAGTAGTGGCCGTTTTGAGAACCTAATATTCTCTGTGTTAATCATGAAATTTCCTACATTTTGTGGTTTCCGGTGTGGTAGGAGAGATGGGCTCTTGATATAGGTGCTGTTGATCTTGCTCTGTTTTCAGACAAATTCTACACGTAAGTTTCTTTTCTAGTTCCAAGTTACTACTGCGTGTTTCTCACGCAGACTCCCGATTTAAATTCACCAAAATTAAACCCGTCTGCCTTAAATCGCGCCGTATTATCTTTCTCAATTAGCAATTCACCACTAATTTAGTAAACCAAAACCCCGAGGCCCCTGTCTCAAGCCAATGCTTCTAACCTTCCTAAAGTCTTCACTTCCATACTGACCTGATCAGAAGGACGAACGGGCGAAGCCTGGGAACCTTATAACAGATTGATGTTCCTCTTGCCCACGAAATGAAGTGTCACACAACAGTCTTCTTCACCAATTCTCCTTCTATTGTTTATTACCTCTCTCTCTTCAGGCTCTAAAACGTTAAGGAAAGTCGGAAATATTTGCTATCACTTTCCAGGACGAGATACAGGAATTTATATTGAAGTTCTTTATGGCGAATTGACCCACGCGGTAGCGTACTTGGTTTGAGACAGTATGCTACAAGTAGGAAGGTCGCGGGTTTGATTCCCGATGAGGTCATTGGACTCTTAACCTGACCTAATCCTTCCAGCCGCACTATGGCCCTGGGGTCAACTCAACCTCTAACAGAAATAAGTACCAGGAATCTTCCTGGGTGGGTAAAGGGCGGCCGGCGCCTAAGGCTGACAACCCCACCGCCATCTGTGATCCAACTCTCTAGAAAACGTGGGAGCCTCGCCGTCTCACAACCCTATGGGGCTTCACGGTCTGTTATATGGATAGCTTTACCTTTTTTACCTTTATGGGGAAATTAATTTCTCTCATAATTATGTTTCCACTAATTTATTTCCACTGCAGTTGTCTCATTGCTAGAGAAATGTAATTTGTTTAGGGACCGGCACAGGAGTGTTACCTACTCCGCAGAGGAGAGGTCCTACTGTTAATTAAAGGGTTTTCGACTGTTTACTCTCGATGTTTAACGAAGTGTTTACTTCTGCAACTCTGAAGAACATATGGGCCAGCTCTGAACTCACGCTACGAAAAATAAACATACACTAGTAACATTACCTTCTCACTGCTTCAAATGAAATGTCTCGTTGAGAAAAACTATTCTCTTCACTCTTAAACCTGTTACATGGCAGCGTCAATGAAAATGAACATTTATTTTATATTTCCGAATTTTGCGTTGAATGTCTGAAGGGGGGCCTATCACAGTGGCTGCGCGGTCTCAAGTATGAACCATCTGCGCTCGCTCGGACGCTGGGATCGTGGGTTCGAATCCTACTCAATGCACGGATGTCTGTATGCGTTTATTCCGTGTTTGTGCTGTCCTGTGTGCAGGTAGAGGCGTTGAGACAGGCTGATCCTTCGTCCAAGGAGTCCTAGCGACTGTGTAAAAGATCAAGAAACTGAAAAAAGCAGCCAAGGCCCAAAAAAAGAAGGGGGGCTGTAGAGGCATAGATAAACAGACGTCTGAGAGGTCTCTACAGGAACTGACTTGTACGGAGCCGGAACCGCAGGGACAAAGCCGGATCACGTGAGAGCTTCTGTGAAGTTACGTTAGAAACTGTTCGAGCAGAGACTGACGTTTCTCATGGTTTCTCTCAGTCATTCCAGACAAAATCCGGGGCTATATCTCAGGCAAGATCATGGCTGCTTCCTTCCAGATCCTTTCCAACTCATTTTTCACCATGATCCAACCATGCGCCTCTATACAGTCCCATTTACTGTCATTAACCGGCAGCAAGAATTGCTCGTACCTCTTGCCTTTCTCCGATCCAGTCCCCTGTGCACTGATCGCGACAACATTTTGCCCTCTAAAGACGAAAATTAATCAAAATAATAGTTTAAAAATTCAGTTCTCAACCACAGAAAATATATCTACATTATTATTACGAAGAGATTGATGTTATTTGTAGTAAGAACTACGTATATGCAACCCATAAATGCATTTTATGGGCAGAACGCAGGGTTCTTTAATATGAAAGCAGGTGGTACATATACTAACCACTGTTCAGAGCGGGTATGAAGCCACACAGGGACTATCCAGTGGGCATCGGAGGCTGTTTTCTGAGGTTAAAACAGCCAGGGCATGAGGCCAACTCTCGTACATTCAGAGCTCAGGTTAAGAAAGCGTGGAGATATCTCTCCATTCCCTCAAACGTATTCACGGTGTGGCGTTTAATTAAGCACAGAGCATCTCTAAACTTAAAACCAATGAAGCACCAATCCCCACTTTCCATCCCCCACAGCTTTTCGCAAGAGGATCCTGTATATACAGGGTGTTTCACGACTTCGGGGCATAACTGCAGGAGGTGATTTCCTAGGTCTTTGTGATCAAGAAAGTTCATATGAACATGTGTCCGATTTTGGACGGTTACGAAGTTATGACCGTTTTAAACTCAGTATAGACAATAAACGGAACAAAATAATAAACCAGCATAATACATGACACATTTAAAGTATGAATGTAAAGTTAACTTCGTGAAATTACCTTTAATTTGAATTTATTGGTGCTTAATGCTGATTTTCGAAAATGCCACCTCCGGCCGCAACACAGGCAGCCGCTCGGTTGTGAACCGCGCGGGTAGCACGTAGAATCCTCAGCTGGCTGTTTCTTATGTGGTCAGCGGCGTCCAGAATGCGACCGAGTAAAGCATCTCGCGTTGCCACCTTCACATTGTAAACCAGATCTTTCATCCATCCCCACACACAATAATCCAGTGGGTTTAAGTCTGGAGACCTGGCTGGCCAATGGTGGGGACCGCAACGTCCAATCCATCGCCCGGGAAAAAGATATTTCAGGAAATTCGTAACTCCACGTGAAGAATGAGGAGAAGCCCCATCGTGTTGGAAATACGTAACATACGACTTCGTTTATCCAAAGGCACATCCTCCAAATTGGGGGCAATTTCTCCTGTGGAAATCTGAGGTACGCCTCTCCTGTAAGACGACCTTCCAAGATGAAAGGACCTATCAGCTGATCGTCCAGAACTGCACACCACACATTGACACTGAAACGTTGTTGAGAGTTGCTTTCAACAGTGGCGTGGGGATTCTCATCTCCCCACAAATGAGAATTGTGTGTATTATTGACACCGTCGCGATTAAATTGCGCATCGTCTGTAAACATAATGTAACGATGCAAATGGCGACTGCCATTGAGCCACTTGCAAAAGTTCAGCCTCTCAGCAAAATCTTCAGGTCGGAGATGTTGCACTCGCTGCACGTGCAGTGCTCTCCACACTCTCGTGTGTGGAACACGAAAACGTCTTGCAATTCTTCGCGTACTCGTACGTGGACTGCGATGTACCATACGAACAATGCCTTCTTCATTGACGCCTTCATTACCACCACGCTCGGCTGCAATACAAATGCTGGGAAGTCTACCGGTATCTCGCAGTGCCTGGTAAACTCCAGTAAACACTCTCCGGTTCGCTATTCTACGATTCGGAAACCGTTGCTGATATTCAGCTACGGCAAGAACTGAGTTACCGTCACAAAACCCGTACACATAAATCATATCTGCATACTCCTCAAATGAAAATGAAAATGGCATTGTGAACGTAACAGACGCACCGAGATGAGAACTGTTATGAACACCAGTAGCCGCCACACTAGCCGTGGCCGGACATACCAACCCACCAGGCCTTAGGTACCTCTCAAGTGTCGAGATAACGAGAACGCTCTGTCTGTAGCTGGCTAAAAATAGCGACCCGCCAGATGATTGACGCGGTTCACACGAGGGCGTGTACGGGAATGAAAAACCGGTCATAACTCCGTAACCTTCCAAAATCGGACACATATTTATACGAACTTTTTTGATCACAAAGACCTAGGAAATCGCCTCCTCCAGTTATGCCCTAAAATCGTGAAAAACTCTGTATGTATATATATATTTTGTGTGTGTGTGTGACGTGGATGGTGCAACGGGAAGTAGGGGTCATCTGAACTCTGCGGTCTCGCGAATGACCTCACATACCCCCACCTCTTCCATTATTACGCAACGCTCGGTAAACACTCCGTCGCCTCCCGCGGTGACGTAACAGGGGAACCCGCGGTTACTACGAAGCAATAAACAACTCTCGGCAGCGTTCCCCAGCAACGCTTGTAAACACGACGTTACGCAACAAAGGTAAATATCGCGTAACTCTTTTCTATGTTGTCAGTGCGGAAGCTA